GCCGCTTGATGAGAGTCTTCAAAGTCCTCCCTAAATATCGAATGCGTTTTCCACAATAGAGGAAGGATGCCAAAGGAAAAAGATATACGCAGAGGTCGGATATTTTTTTGAAACAGATCTGTGTATATCTTTGTCCTTGGGTATTCTCTATTATGGAAAACAGATATTCGGTATTTAGGGGGGGCTTTCAGATCCACCAAGCAGCATGACTCAATAAATGTTAGTTGTCAACAGTACACAGTTGTGTGAACGTCAAAAATTTCGAGCAATTTATAATGACCGAGCGAGTCGAGCAGAGAATTTGCATTAAATTTTGCCAAAAACTTGGCTACACATTTTCCCAAACAGTCGACATGATTCATAAAGCTAATGGTAATGATTCTATGAGTAACGGACAAATAAGACGGTGGTTTAAACGGTTCGAAGATGGCCGTGTCTCAGTGAACACTGATCTTCCTTCCAGCAGACTTTTCAGCAGAACGTCGAGAACAGCGAAAAACATAGAACGTGTGCAAGTCGCAATCAATGAAAATAGTCGTTTGACTGTGCAAGAATTAAAAGACGACCTTGGAATCACATGTGATAGTGTTTCTCGAATTTTGACTGAAGATCTGGAAATGAGTCGCGTGTGTGCAAAACTCGTTTCACGAGTGCTCAATCAAAATCAAAAAGATTTTCGAGTTGAAGTTGTCAAAGAAATCCTAGAATTCATCAGAAAAGATCCTGAGTTGATCGAAAGAGTTATTACTGGCGATGAAATATGGATTTATGGCGTCGCTCAAAAAGCACAATCGATGACGAGAGAAGAGTCTCGATCCAAGAAAGCGAATCGAAGCAACATGAAGACAATACTCACTGTTTTCTTTGATCATCAAGGTATTGTACACCACGAATATGCTCCACAAGATCACACAATAAATACACAGCATTATTTGAACGTTTTTAAACGATTGCGTGAAGCAATGAAGAAGAAACGACCGCATTTGTGGAAAAGTGGAAATTGGCTGCTACACCATGATGACACATCTTATTCATCTGATCTAATTCAAGATTTTTTTATTAAACATGGCATTGTCCAACTTCGTCAACCCCCATACAGTCCAGATGTGGCCCCATGTGACTTCTGGTTATTTTCTAAGTTGAAAAATCAGCTGAAGCGCAAACGATTTAAAGATGTTGAAGACTTAAAACTAAATGTGACGAGGACGCTGTTGGCTATCCCAAAAAATGATTTCCAGGACTGCTTCCGAAAATGGGTGGACCGCTGGAAGAAAGTCATTGTTTCGAAAGGAGACTATTTTGAAAGTAACACTGTCGATATCACTCCGGATTTGTGAGTAGTGTAAAACTATTTATTGATATATTATTTATACATCTTCATTCGATATTAATACCGAGTTTAAATGTCATATTAATAAACTAATTCATTGATTCATATTGTGATTTTTTACTTGTGACGTCGACACGACAATGCGACGTGTACATCGTAGTCTCGCCGATGTCGTATTCAACATCGAGGTATATATTTGCGATAACGTCAACGTGGCATGACGAGTCATCGTGCTGAGTATTCGGCCGATGTATATCAGGAATGTTAAACGCGTCTGATAATATCACAGTCACACAATGTGAGATAACCATTATTTTATTTATTTAACAAATCTGTACGACGAGCTCTTCGTAAATTTGTACCCGCGAACAACGACGTCTGTTCCACGGCACGGAAGACGAATCGGCAATTCCCTTCGAGAAAATGATTGTGAGAGGAGAGAGGGATGGAAGCAAGAATGCATTCTGTGTACCTGCATTCTGACTATACAATGATCCGTTAGACGCGTGTTGTCAAATATTGTGATGACATGGGTTCGTTTTACGCATGATGCACATAATTATTTTATTTTTTGTTTAACGCTATTATAGAACCACCGACACTATATTTTGCTGGAATTGTCAAAAGTGTCAATTTAATAATTTCCTTGTTTTCGCTTAATGAAGATTGATTTTTATATTATTTATCATTAGAATTATTTGTATTATATTCACATATTTTCTATATTTTATACTATATATTTTTAAAAGAAAAAAATTAAAATGATTGACAGAGCTCGGGGCATCCTTGGGGTTCTAGTATTAACATTCGGAATAACAAGGATGAGATACACCGCTCATATCATGCGTAAAACGGAACGCACCCATTAGCCAAGATCTAATCTCATATAAATAATTAGGGGATTCGTAGTGCAACCTTGCATTTAAGATCGTCTTGAGTACGATCTAGTCGTGTCACTGAATAGAACTTTAAGACTACATTTAGAAGGATTTTTTAAAATAAAATTGGTTTATGAATACCACACTATGTGTTTATATACATGTGTGAAAGATTAAGATGAGACTTGCAAATTAAATTTATTTATTGAATAATTTCAAAGGAAACAAAGAAAGATCGCTAATGTGTCTTTATTGCTTCGTTAAATACCATAATATGAGATGAATTAGTAAAAATAAATCAAGAAATGAGGGTAATTTTTTATATGTGTAAGACACGGTTTTATGTAATTAAAATTTATTTGTAATTAAAATTCAATTATGTTGAAAGAATCGTTAATGCAACATGTGTGTTATGTGACTTGCTATCTATAATTTATTCTTTCTACTGAACCGGAACAATGTTACAAATGGATCATGGTCATATCTACTTTAAGAAAGCATGCTATAAATATCTGTGAAAAATATTTTGAAAGTGATCGCGTCAAGAGAAACAGACTTTCTTTCCACCTCAACGTTATCAATCTTTCCAAACAGGAAAAATATATTTGTTTCTCTTATTTATTTATTGTCGTTGTTTATTGAATATTTTATACGTTATGAACATGCGCTTGTAAGTAATCGTAAAATTCAATTAAATTTTACTGCACAAATCAATTTTGTTTAATTTTATCAATAATTAAATTAAGTTGAAATAAGACAACTTGATTAATTAATTATAATATATGAATCTTATTGGAAATCTCGCGGTCATTGGCCCAAACAAGAGAAAAAGAGGATATTTTAAAGAATTTTCCATAAATTTTTAAATAAATTTTCCTGATTATAAATAAATAAATGAGCGTGACACGCCAGATTTATTTCCCATCAAGTTCGGTGTCCTTTCGCTGAATTTCCGTAGAATTGTCGATTGCATCGAAGTAGGGGGACCACTTTGATTACTCCCACCCCCGTCCCTTATCCATGGCAAAGTTGGTGAAGACGCTTACGCGCGTTAATTAATCGGGACGCTGACGGTGTGCCGATTAAGCTGCGCGACGTCTAATTATAGCGGCTGGCTAATCAGGTCGTGATATGAAGATTTTATTTACGCCGTGATATATGTGTGAGAACATGTATATCGCACCGCGTTAATAAGCGTCGATATTACGAGGGAACGATAGCGCGCGCGTGGCGTTTTACCACCACGTCGCGCCGTCGTCCTTGAGGCCCCCGGTGAACGACTATTTTCTAGGCAAGGTCGACCGACCGACGCTTCTATTGCGGTGTATGTTTATCGGTTTATCAATGTCATCGTTTCTCGCGGACGGTTGTTTTGCAGGATTCGGCCTTCTAGCTAGAGGATCTTAGAAGTTCGCTCGTATATTCGTGTGTGGTGCACAATTTCTTTCGAATAAGATGGGAACAAGGAGAACACTTTGGTTTGGAAAGTCCAGGTGGGACAATCTTTTAATAATGAACTAACATATGCCACGCGTCGAGAAAAAAAGGAAGAAGAGGAAACAAATAATCGAGTTCTTCGGAAAAAACACGAGTAGATTTAATTGAAAAATATATAACAATCACAATGATTATTACTCAATGCATTCGAATTTATTGATAACTAAGATAATGCGCGATGTTTTCGCAATATTTGTTCCTGCACAGTTTGGTCTGTTAACTGCTATGGTGGTTATCGGTACTTAACTTTTCAGTGACGCCCTGATGATTATTGGAAACCGTAGTCCTATTAAAAATTTTTAAATACTTGTAAAAAAATAAGTTATTGGTTATATTTCGAATGACGTAAATCGTTAAATATAAAGTAAGAAGTCTATTATTCAATACCTGTGAGAATAAAGAAAAGAGAAAAGTCCTATTTAATCATATACATTATTTTATCATTATACGTTTATGCTCATTAAAATTCTACTGTGTCGTATATGATAAGGCATATAACAAACGCTAACCAGACAACGTGTTAACACCGTAAACAAAAGCGAAATATTTCATTTTCTTGTATTTGCGAGAAAATATTTACCAAAAGTATCGTTTAATCTATTCTATATCATTATAAATTGCGTCCTCAATAAACTTTATGTTAAAAAAATTAGAGAAAGCAGTTTCCTAAATGATTATATATTGCATACTTGATCTTCTCGACCAGAGACATTTTATAAAAAGAAACCTCTCATAATGTTTCTAATATTATTTCTATGTCACGTTTCATTCTATTGCTATATTTATAATAAACTCGGTGCGAGATCCAAGTTATATTTTGTCAAGAATAATCACCTGATACAATCGATTTGATCTTGATATTTCAAGATTTCCAATTTTCTAATCTTCTTGATGTCCACTTTGGGCATTTAAAATTTGTGACAAGAGTTCTATTTATAATTTCATGTGCGATCGTCATACAAAGAGCATTTGCAATACAAAATGCACATATAGGTACTAAACGCATAAAATACATATTGAATCCGCTTTAGAGGATCTGTAATTTACGTTAAATTTTGGGGTAGATTTCTATTCATAATATTGTATATCGCATATTTTAATATATCTTACATCACATATGTGTGTGTATATATGTATTTTTGATTTTTCGTTGATGTATATATAAATATTTTTTATATTATACTATACGATACTTGAAATTATAATTAAAATTCTATCTTGAATTTCGATATAAAATTCTGAAGTAGATTTAAATAAAGAATTCTAAATAAAAGTATCATTGTATGTTTATATAGTTTAAACAAGATGCATGCGATGGAGGGTACGACCGAGAGTAAGCGAAAGGTGGATACCGCAGAGGACGACAAGACATCCAGATCGTCGCCGTTCGGCATCGGTGGGTCGCCCACGCAAGAAGAAGGACGAATCGCGCTGCGACACTGAGACTCCGAACACTAAGGGTAGACAGCTGCTTGCGAGTACGTCACGACAAAGTGAAACGACTCCGAGTGATGCCGTGCAGCCGCGTCATGTTAAAGCAGGGTCTGAACCGATTGAGATTAGAAAACGGAAGTCTACTCTGCAAGTCTCACCTCACGCAGGAAATCCTCCCAAGAAGAAATTTCGCGACAACTACACACGAGAAGAATACATTTCGAGTATTGTGGGCGACAACAACGAAACTATCGAAGACCTTGTGGCAAAAGCCGATCGATTGCGAGCCGATATTTTGGTGAGTATTGGAGCTGTGATCTCTCATGAAGAGTAAAACCACTCTTTTTTAAAGCATTTTCATTAATTTTTATCTGCAGACACTTGAAAATTTAGCACATGCCAAAGAAATGGAATGGAATGAGATCTTGAGGAAGAGGAAACTCAAAGAGGAGGCATACCTGAGGCTCGAAAGGAAGATACAAACGACAGCCTACATGGAAAATGACGGTCAGTTGTCGGAAACTTTACCGCCACGATCATCTGTGAGTTCGACCGAATGGGAGAACAACGGCAGCAATTCCGTATCGAAGGAGAGATCTTTCGAACCTAAGGAGGATCTAGGCGAGAGATCTTCGGATTCATCGGGTTCGAAGAAAGAGAAAACCCCGAAAGCTAGCTCGCAACAACGAGCGACTCCTCCGAAAACCAATGGCGAGAGCAATCGTAAACAAAATGAGGTGTCGAGTCCGGAAAGTCGACAGATCGGAGAAGGCCGTCAAGGTGCAATAGTGGATGTCAGATCCATTATTGCCGACCACAGGCTTAAGCATCCAGAAACCGTACCAAGGAGGTAAATTAATTATAAATGACAGAATGGGAGAAGGAAAAAATATGGTTTTACTTATCACAAAATTTATATAAATAACGACTCACAACAAAATAATTTTCATAAATGTTTGAAAAATAAATTTACGTCACATTAGCGCGATATGGGTGCAATATAATTTTCGATAATATCCGAGAAATATAATTTGAACATAATTTCTTATGCACAGCAAATAGAATCAAGGATGGCATACTAGATCAAAATTGGACGAGCATGAATTAAGATGACAAAAGTTAAATTTATTGTTTATAATGTAATAATGTTCAATTTAAAAAACGAGCAAAATCAAAATCTGCACCACATTTGAATGACGACTTACATTTACAAATTACCGTCTTTTCTTTTCTGCACATTATATTTGCACAGTTATATATATATTGTTGCATCTTACCTTCACAATTCTCTGTAAGTGTAACATCTATTTTATTAATTTATTTATATCTTTTAATAATGTTTAATTTACATAAACTCGTTTCAACTTACTAACTTTATTTGTAGCATACGCACTTTTTTTAAAAAAACTAGTGGACGTTCAATTAATAATCATCTCATCATCGACTGAGATTATTTATTTTAATTCATATTGAGACTCCACTTTTTCTCGCTGTCAACCGAAGAATTGATTTAAGATATGGACACTAATATAGCTTCGTTTTATCAATATGACATAATTGTTTATGGCATTATAGAACCTCTGTTATTTCATTACTATGAAATATGACAATATGACGCAATCGTCATTGCGTTACATAATCAACATTACTGTAAGTGAAGATGAGATGATCCTTATATTAATTGCATTTGCGTTATTAATTTCCATGTTGTTTATCTCTTACTAACTCTTACTAATTTTATGGGGTGTAACTTTTTATGGGTGAGGAAGATTAAGTAAAGTCTGAACATTCCATGAATATTATTACATTATAAACAATAAATTTAACTTTTGTCATTTTAATTTATGCTCGTTCAATTCTGTATACTATCCTTAATTCTATTTGCTATGCATAAAAGATGCGAAAAATTATACATTTTCCAAATTTCTTACTATAATTTCTTATACTAAAATCGATTCTGCAATATTATTCGCAATCCTTTTTTTTAAACGATTGAAACATATTTTTATAGCAAATATAATTTTAGATAAGGAAATGAGATTCTCATTCTGATTAATGCTACAATGATTAAGGCTACATTAATAATATGCAATATTTGATTATACTAACTTAAATAACATTAAAATATCTGTGCTTTTATAAAAACAACTTTATTTTTTCAATACTCATTTTCATTTGTAGAGGTCGACGATTAAGAAATTCAAACGTGAATATCAATCTCAGTGCTGGCGGCGCCATGGTTGAAACTGGACATAATGCTGATTCAAGACCGTCTAGCACAGAATCGTGCAAGAGCAATCCAAGCACGAACGATCCCATGAACTATAAAGACATGCTAGTACAATTTGCTAAACTGAGTCAGCAAGGTAATATGTTTCTGAAATTTTTTAATTGATTAAATTTATATTTTTTGTTGCTAAAGAGAGGCAATTTGTAATTATTCGATTTTGATAATCACCAAACTATAACTATGCTCTAACATTATATTTTTAGGTGAACCCGTCAAGGTACCGCAGAATTATCCAGATGTGACGCTTCATCCTGTGACACCTTCGTCTACCCAGAATACGTCTCAGCCAACCGGCTCGTTGCTCCACGGAATTCTAACAAAAGCTCAAACGCCAAGATCCTCGACTTTTTCACCTACTTTAGCAAGATTACTCACTGCGCCTGAAAGAGAAAGGAGTTCTCCGGCGGCTGCGGCAGCGGCAGCGGTGGCGGCAGCGACGTCAGCGTCTATGTCGCAGCCAAGCGCCACGACTCAACACCTTTTGCAGACATACCAAGGCTCTAATATGGTTTCTATAAATGATCTCCTGTCTTCTTCCAAGGTTCTTTGTTTTTTTTTATTTTTTCTAATTATTCTTTTTTTCATAATTTACGTTAGCATAAAATGCAATTTCTCTTAAACGATATGATTATTACACCATTTGAATATCTAGCAGCGTAATTGATTTTATATAATTTATATAAATAAATAGCAATAAGAGCATATAAATAATGTAAATAATTTATAAAAATAAATAATACAAGTTTTTAGGAGATAAAAGCTTGAAAAACTCGGGTAAAGTAAGTAGTTAGGCGAGAAGTAAATTTATCTTTTTTTGGTAATGTAAGATATTTTTTCCAGGCTCGCACAGAGATAACTATAACCCCCGTTGTTAACACTCCCGCGCAATCTCACTCCAACGATTTAATTCAAGTGGTAAATTTCTTTTTTAATTTGTTAATAACACGTTCTCTTGTGCATATTTAACTATTTCATTGAACTTTTAGGAGGATGTAGAGGACGAAACATCGGTAATTGATGATAGGAAAGGGAACTCAGTGATTGGAAGAGATGGTAAACAAATAGTGAAGGACAATCCACCTTCACCAAATGCTCCACCAAAATGTCAGGGATGCATAATTCGACCCGCACAGTTTGTTTGCGCCGGTTGTGGAAATCAGTGGTATTGTAGTCGTTCATGTCAGGTACATGTCATGTCAAGTGCACAGTTACGTATGATGTATCATTTTTACATATTTACGATTTACGTTAATGACCATCAATAATAACGAATTGTATTTTTTTTTTTTTAATATCGATAGCTTGCTGCATGGGCAACACACTCTGATCACTGTCCGCCGGAGCCCGAGAATAGCAAAACAAAGACCAACGTTTAACTCCCGAGATCCCTGCATGTCTGGTGCATACAATGGCATCAGGCGAGAGATATCAACATAACTGAGTACGAATCTAGTCAAGGAAGGAGGTTCAAGGATATAATTCATATTAAGAGACAAATGAGATGCGAAGAGAATCGAAAAGGGATCGTGTGTGTATCGTATTGATGTAATATTGGAAAGATCCTTGTCGAAGTGAATGGATGATGTCGTCCTATTTATCACAAGCATTTACTGATCTCCCATCTTGAAAGGAGGTTTCACGCTATCACGTTCTGTTCTTTGCAGAACGAATTCGTGAATTTTCTTGCACTTTGCTCGAGCTTTAGATGAAGAAAATTGTCTTCTTTCGATGACGAAAATTTCGATGACGCGATAATCGATGCCATTGGTTAACGAGCCTCGTGTGTTATGTATAATTCTTTTTCTTTTAGATTTTACTACATACACTAGTCGAAAATTTTTGAATGCTCGAAAAATGAGCGGGAAAGAATAAATAATTTCGTGGCGCTTTGTGGGAGTGGAGCACAATACTATGTAACGCGATGCTGTATATAATTTTATACAATTTAAGAGAGTTATTCAGCGTCGATTTTAGAACGTCGATTAATCGCGTGCCATGTGTAAGATCGGGGGCGGATTGGCCGTCAGCTCTCTGAAAGATATCGAGAGATACTTTCTGTTTACTTTTTATTAGAAATTATTTTTCAGAAAAATTGTAGAAATCATAAATTTAATTGAACAATGTAAAATTAATATTTGTTATAATAAACGGATTAAATTTGTTATAAAAACATGTTTACTTTTGTTATTATAACAAATTTCTGATTGTTGTTATTATAACAAATTTCCGATAAAATTGACTTGCGATGACTTACTATGACTTTTATATTGCTAGACATTGTCCGCAAATGATTAATTATTTCAAAATATATATCCACATAGGTAGTTTTTTTCCGCTTATTCAATCCGCCCCTATATGTAAGATTCATTTTCCATAATTGACCTTGACATGGACGCTCAAGTCAGAGAAATAACTTGAGCATTTTTTTACATGTAGTGTGATATGGATTATATTCTGTTTTTTTCTTCGTTTACATGTAGACATTGTAGGCATAAGAAATTGCTGGACGGAGTATTTAATCAACAAACAAGACACGAATATTAAGTACTCCATGTTAAATATTTAGTACATATATTTGAATATATGTATATGTATATGTATATATATATATATATATATCATATAGCAACATTTTGATTATATATAGGTTGTTTATATAATATAAATCCTTTCATTTTGTTATATATACATATATAAATGTTATCCTAGCAAACACCAAGTTAACACCATGTAACTTACGTGTTGTAATGTGTACCACTCAACAATATAACTAATATAACAATATTATATTACAGTTATATTGTTTAGTGGGAAATTACAACTAACAAGTATGTTATTTGTAATTTAGAGTTTGTTGAGATATATTGTTACATAAAGAAATATATGCATTATCAATTCGATTCTCTATTCGAGATAAAACATAAAAATAAAATATTCTCTTTTTTTAATAACTCATACAGCACAGAACGTACAGCAATATCGTTGCAATAACGCTGCAATATCGCTGCAATGTTGCAGCATTGTTGCTGTAACTTTTATACTGTATGGGAATATATACTTTTATATTCTCTTTTTTCTCATTCTCTCTTTCTTTCTTTATATAACTTCAGTTCCTTTAAAATCCATTGTTTTCAAAAATTTACTGTAAGCTCTGTCCAGTTATTTTCTTAACCTTCGTGATCTTACATGAGTTTCACGCAGAAAAATGCAGACTGCGTGAACACAATTCAGGCCTGCGTATATTGAGACGAATGTATCACACATGCAACATTTTATATTTGTTACCAATGCATATGTACATGTAAATTTAACAAAAAAAACGTTAGATTTAGTATAGCAGTAAGATGTTTTTTTATTCCATTGGTAACATATTCGCATGTTTTACATTTTTTTAAATTAATATGTTACCCCATACGATGACTGTCCCTGACATAATCTGTAGCCCAAAGTTCCTACAGGTACATACAACATATATATGTATATGTATAAATATATATATATTTTTCCCAATTACAAAGCAAACCAAAATAAAGTTTTTAATCGTATTCTCTGCATATTTCATTTTATTATACTTTCAATAATGAAATCATACATTTTCAAGCTCTTGTAATCATTTCGCATAAGTTATTGTATTTGTAACGCTAAGATTAAAACAGATCAAAACTGATATACTTGAAAGAGAAAGCGCGTCAGCAATTTTAAAAATCATTTTTGACTCCTTATTTATGTCTTAAATTTTAAATATAAAATAAGATTGATATTTATATTTTAAAAATTGTTTTAAATAATGTCTTAAGATGCCAATATAACTTTGGAAAAAGATTTTTTATACAAGAAAAGATTTATACATTTAAAATATTAAAAAACATTTAAATGACATTAATGTCGCAGCAATTAATAAAATATATTTTACATGTTTTATTCATTTAATTATTAAATAATTTTAATTTAAAAAAATTATTTTTTTACATATCTAACATTTTTAAGACATGACATATTATTTAAGAGATTTAATAGTAATATTACATTTAAAACACAGAAACGGTTAAAAGATTCAACAATAAAACATTTTTCAAAACATTGATAAAGCAGGTCTATCGGTTTATTTACGGCATTACAGATACTTGGTCCGACTTGGCACAGTCGGGTTGCATTCGGAAATATCACCCGAATGCCTCCGTGTATCATTGTATCCTTGTTGTTCACCTAATGTTAAACAAGGATAAGATGATACACGGGGGTACCCAGGTGATATTTCCGAATGCAGCCTCAACAGCGCTGGATAGCGCACAGCTGGTGGTACAGTAACATAACATAACCTCAATGGTTTTATGGTGTACTTTCTAAACGCATTTTACATTTTGACGATCATGACAAATCGATCATTAACGACATATATATTGCGCTAATTATTGAAGAGC